AAAATACATGTTCCAAAAGAGTTCTGAGATCTTGGGTATAAACCAACAGAGTAGAGAGAAGGAGAGTACTGTGTGCTGGGTACTGGACTAGATTTCAAAATGTAAATGGAGATATTTATGGTATGATCTTTTAAAAAGCTCTGTTCCACAACCATCATCAAGTACTGTTTTGGGTCTGGAAGAGCCGGCCAGTTAGAAAAACAAAGGTTTGAAATGACACCGTGGTACAGCTGATGTAAGATGCTCTTTGGGGTTGGATTAGCACTAGGCATACATGAAATTGAGATGTATATGTAACGTATAGTTTCAGCTAACTGAATATAATGAATAGTTCAAAACAATGTCATTACTCCATTTGCATAAAAAATTCTGACAATATTTTATTAAATATTGAAAAAAATTGTTGGAATTTATCAGACAAAAAAATTCCACCCCAACATTTTTCTTTTGATAAAATGGGGGTAAAATGATGGTTTGGTTGACTGATTGAACTTACTTTTCAACAAATTGTGGTAATAGAAATATGATCCTGGCTTCATAACCCTTTTTTTTTTCTTTTTCAATTCAATTTATGATTTATTTTATGACCATCAGAATGTGGTAAATGATTGCTATGTATCGATGGTTTCACAATAATTTGGGGGATAATAAATGAATACCAAGTATTTGAGTAGACAACTATTAGGACTGGAGGAAAAGGAATATAAAAATACAAACTAACCACAAAACTGGGCCAGTGTTCCTTCCTGATGTGCCACTTGACCAGCTGTGTTTCCCTGGAAAATCGTTTCAAGTGTCAAGAGAGAACCATGGTGAAATTAAGACAGTCAACTCTTCTTACATTTGAGTATCCCCTCTATAAATGAAAAATAAATGACATTAGCGCTGGATGATATTAAGAGACTTAAAAACTTTTTTTTTAATCTGGAGGGCAGAAACCCTAGTTCTTGTTCTGCCTTTGGGTAACTGTACCATATTAAATATGTCTAATTTTCCCTTGATGCCTTTCTCTTAGCTGTAAGTACAAGCTGGACTAGGTGATCTCTCTGGTCCCTTCTACCTCAAAATTCTATTATTGAAAGAAAAAAAATTGCCTCTAGCCTTCTGATTTGAATGCCAGGTTTCAGCCTGATGTGAATTAAACTGTCTGGGTTGTAAACCAACTACAAAATAAAGTTTATAATGGAAACAGCAAGTGACCCTTGGCTGCTGCTAGGCCACCAGTTCCCGCTATAGTATTCAGTTACTGCTCCTTTCCCTGGGCAGAGGCCGCTGTGTTATGTAACGGTGACTACTGAAGGATTACTTAATCCCCTGCCTAACCCTAATTGCACAGTCTGCCTGCGGCTGCTATAAACCGCGTTCTTTCAATGACACGCTCCAGGGTAGATGTGGCTGCCATCACCAAACCCAGCTCTTGATGGTTTTGTGTGAAGCTTCCAAATCCCACCCTTTTGAGAGTACATTATTTTTGCTTTTTCTTCCGTCTCTCTCTAACTGCCAATGGTTTCCTGGCCAAAATGACCTAGCACTAGGAAAAATTCTAACAAATAATAAAAGAATCCAGTGCAGGTACAGTACATACCGTCCTCTGGTTACGGACCAGACCAAGCCAGGAGCTTCAAGTGGAGACAGCCAGGGAGAAGGGAGGGAAATGATTCACGTCTCACACAACAAGTCTTTGGTTGAATAGGGTTGGTTCCTGTTTAGCCTTTTCATTTAGCCTATATGTCTTTTGTTTTATAGAGACATTTTTTAAAAACTCTGAGCAAAAGAAAAATTGCCAGAAATTTTAGAAGACAAAGAATGCATTTTTATAATACAAAATATATATGAATATTTAGATAAATAGATGTCCACACCATCTGAAAGTTTAGTGATTATAAGCAATCTCACCTATTTTCTCCACAATATAGCATTCCCAGACTGTGTTTCTCATAATTCATTTTTTTTCTGCATCCCTATTTTTATATTCCCATTTGAGAAACCATGTGTAAGTAGAAAAAAAAAATAGAAATGCATCAAGTAATCTCCATTTTTTAAAGCATGCTTAAATTAGCAAAAATTATATTGTACTTACTAATATATATACCATTTTACTATTGCCATAAAATTTATATTTTTAAATCTTTAGTGAATAATATTTTAATGGTTATGTATTTCATTAATCATGATACTCTCATTCTATGCTTCTCTGATTTTAGATTGTATCTGCTTTTTGTTAATATGAAGAATGGTATAAAAAAGCTTTTATAGACATTTTGCCTGAAGTTCTGAGTATTTTGTTCCTTAAGCTACAATTCTGAAGCTACTTATACAGATTACCAATTAAGAAGTAGAATTAATATATGAAATTATTTTCCATCCACCAGCAGAAAATCCTAATGCCAAAGTAACAGTTCACTATAAAAGTAGAATTTACACAGAAATAAAATTAAAACTTGCTTTGTGATCCAAATATTTGTATGCCCAGGTACTTTAATATTTTCAATCAATGTTTTAAGACTACTAAATTCTAAAAACAAACTACCAGAAAAGAGAAAAATTGAGTAGCAACAAAAGTGATGTTGAAACAAACTGTTAATGTAAACCAAGATTTCTAAGTGACAAATCAGTGAGAGGCTCAGTCTCTATGTGATTTTGAAACATCATGATATGAAAACAAAAACTGTTAATAAAATGGAAATTTCTCACTGCTTAAATTACAGGTACAGTTGCATTCACAAACCATCCCGCTATATTTTTTCTTCTTTCCTCCTCTTCTAGTAGAAGATGACTTTTCTTCCTTCTGAAGCTAATTCTAATATTTATTGCACAGATCCCAGGCCCTCCCTGCTGCCAGAGGTTTCACGTGTTTCTCCCCAGAGCCCTCTGTGTAGGCAGAGTGAGTTCATAAATCCAGGTCCCACGCTGAAGTTCAGTGAATGCTCTGTGATATCCAAGAGGTTTCCTGTTTGCCCATCTTTGCCAGTTTGCTCACCTGTATCCACGATAGGATCATAAGCTTTATTTCCATATTTTTCTCTCTCATACCTTCCATATCTAGTAGAGCCTCCCAGAGGCACCTGGTAGTAGCATAGTAGATTTCGTCTTTGTGTGCCTTGGACTGGACTCAGTAGCTACCATATGGCAGGCGTGTGCCTCACGGCACAAAGTTTGCAGAATGAGGTTGGAATCCTCCCGCCACGAGGCCACCTGAGCAGACCGAACAGTGTTTATTCAGGAAGACTGGCTTTTTTTTTTTTTTTTGGTACCACGGATTGAACTCAGGACCTTGTATTTACAAGGCAGTCAGTGAAACCACTGAGCTAAATCCCCAGCCCTGGACAGTGTTTATTCAGATGTGTACACAGCCTTCCTATTCTTTACCTGCCATAGATATTGCATGCTACTTCTTTCAGAGAATTTATATTTCTAGGAAGACTAAAATAGGCATGCAAAGATATTGGCCTTCTTTCAAGTAATGGGCTTGATCCATAATCTTCGTTGTTGGATGGCAACATTAGGCCTTCTCATTGGACATTGTACAGATGTGACTTTAAAAGAGGGTTTATTTTGTGTGTGTCTGTTTAGAATTCTGGTTCTGGTGAAATACATGGAAATGAGAAGACCTGGTTTCTACTGGTGAGCTCTAAAGACAGCAGGGTTGTGGTCATAGAACTAACCAGACCATCTCTATGAGCATGGTTCTGAGCATGTAGATATCCATTGTTTTGTGCTATATATTTCTTTCTTTCTTTCTTTTTTTTTTTTTTTTTTTTTTTTT